CCGGGTCATGGTGATCTACTTTCTAAAAAAAACTTCCTTTCATAGCATTATAAGATGTTTTAGGTTCGTCTTAGGTCAGTTTTCTCTAAGTTTCACTGAGTTTAGAGAAAAATCATAGCAACATCTACAATACCAAATTAAATTAATCAAATCCACCATTGAATATATTTTATAATATAATTGTTTTTTATTGAAAATATTGCTAAAAGAAAAACCATATTAAACTTGAAGAAATTTGTCTTCGAATAAACCCAAAACATCATATAATACGTAATGGAGGGAGTAATTGTTCTATTGAAAATTCAGCAGTAGCGGAGCTTGCACGGCGGCGATGGCTGCGCCGGAGGAGCTGCGGCTCTCGGAAGGAATGGCGGCAGCTGCACCGCATGGAGGAAGGAGAAGCGGCGGCTCGGCTGGCCAGCGCACGGAGGAGCGGCAGCGATGGTTGCGCGCTGGAGGAGCAGCGTCACTTGGTAGGAACGGTGGTGGCTGCGCCGCGCGGAAGAAGGAGAAGCGGCGGCGTGGCTAGCCGGCGCATGGAGGAGAGGTGGCGCTCAGAGGGGACAGCGGCAGCTCCTGCGCGAGGGGAGGGACGGCGACAGCTGCAGCACGCAAAGGAGTGGCGGCGCCGACATGCGAAGTGAGGATCGAGGGGCAGTGCTGGCGTGCGGAAGGAAGAAGCGGCGGCGCTGCAGCTTCGTGTGCTCCTGAGCTGCTGTTGCCAGTTGATGTTAATTTGTGGTTGGATTTGCATATGAATTTCCTGTTGGATAATATGTTGTCAAAATTTTGTAAAAAAATCTGTTAAATTGAATCAAAATTTTCAAATTGAAGGCAAATCTTAGATATAAAAAACTATGCCAAATTCATTACAAATATTTTAAAAAGTTCCAAATATAACATGATTAAATGAGCAAAGGCAAAAAGGACAATTCACCCCTTAGTTAACACTGTTATTTGGTTTTCATGGAATAGGGTCAACTTTGAACTTGATTTTTGAAAAGCAGGATGAAATGAGCAAACAAAAAAAAGTAAAGTTAAATTGGTAGTTAAACTTTAAAATAGGGTCAAAATGAGCAATTGTCCCAAATACATATGACATAAAAATCTTTATTCTATGAGCAAAATACAGCTGTCCATTGAAAAAATTGCAAGAGTTCATCAATTGAATAGTAGTTTCTATCCCGACGTGAATTAAAATAATAGTTTCCATCCTACATAATCGGGAATCACTACTAGAAAAACTATTTTTCATGGCGTTACCCTATTTTTTTCACTGTCGGTTATATAAGAAATCCGCTTGCAAAATTCTAATGAGGGATAGTGGGTTTAGGACCGCTAGTACAAATCTATTTTTGCTAGCGGTGAGTTTAGAACCGCCAGCGAAAACGGCGGTAGGTTAAAAAGCCCACTTGTAAAAATATCTCTATTTTTGTTGATGGACCTCTTATCCGCTTGTAAAAGATTTTTGCTGGCAGGGACCGCGCCGCTCCAGCACTTGAAAATATCGCGGCATTAAAAATCGCTCCACCTACCCATCCTTATCTCCTCCTCCGTTCACTCCACCTACCTTATCTCCTCCCTCCAACCATCTCTCCCTCCATCCACATGATAGGCGTGAGCGGCGAGCTCGGGCATGGGCGGCGGCGTGCTCGGGCGCGGGCGAAAGGGAGGGCGGAGGAGAGAGCTAGCGCGGGCGGCGGCGAGCTCGGTCGCAGCCAACAGGGAGGGCGGCGGTGGAGCTCAGTCATGGGCAACAGGGAGGGCGGCGGCGGAGCTCGGGCGCGGGCGAAAGGGAGGGCGGAGGAGAGGGCTGGCGCAGGCGGCAGCGAACTCGGGCGAGGGCAATAGGGAGGGCGGCGGCGGCTGGCGGCGCTTCGGTGTGGGCGGGAAGGCCGGATTTGCCGCCGCCGTGCCGCTGGGAGGCCGGATCCGCCGCGGGGACAAGGCTGCTGCCACCGTGAGGGACAAGCCCAACGCCGGTGGAGCTACTCCTCGTCCAGGTCTACCGCCTCATCACCTCCCAAGGTCAGCACCCATCCATTCTTGCGCTTCGATTCGCCATATTTTTGTTGACGCGGCAATCTGAAATCCGTGTGTGGTGGTGGTGGTGGATGCGCAAAGGTGACGAAGGTGTTGTGGGCGAGGAAGAACGAGAAGATGCGGGGGTGCGAGCCCAGGCAGCAGCACGACCAGCTCCGGCGAGGCGACCCGCTCGCCGATGTATCCAAGGAGGAGATGCAGTGGCTGTGGCGAGGGGACTTCAATATTTTTGTTATTGTGTTGATTTTTGTGATGCTTGAATGCTTGGGTGAATGAAAATTATTTAATGTAAATTTTTGAGGAATTTTGAATGCTTGGGTAAATTTCTATGAAATTTTTGAATGGTCGAGCGTTGACGGAGGCAGACGGAGCGGTGTTGCTCTGTCCGTCGTTTTCTTTTAAACATGGCCAGCATTAACACTGGCGGCTGGTCCCTATAACCCGCCAGCGATAATTCATTTTCGTTGGCGGCCATCTTAAGGCAACCGCCAGCGAAAATGGATTTTTTGCTGGCAGCTGGCTTAAGATGACCGCCAGCGAAAATGAATTATCGCTGGCGGTCGATAACCGCTAGCGAAGATCTACATTTTCACTGGCCTTTGCTTTGTGGCGGATGCAATTTCCGCCAGCGAAAACCCAAAATGGCCGCCACGAAAGATGGTTTTTTGTTGTAGTGAATACATGTTTAGCATTTTGCCAGCAAAGCAAGGTTAACAAGGCCAGACCTTACTGACAGGAATATGAATAAAAATCTAAATTGCACATTCATGACTCGTAAGGAACATTAATTATTTAACCAAATAACCAATTCGCACATCCATAACTAGCAATGAACTTGAATTATCTAACCAAAACTAAAATCAAGATCAATTGAACATGGAAGAACATCATCATCTCGAGAATTAACTTCAAACATGGATGCCCAAAAAATACCAGTATGAAAATAGAATCATGATATACGGAGTCACATGAATAATAATATAATGAAAAATAAATAAAAGGACAAACACAATCGATCCATCACGGTCAACAAGTTCGTCATGGACCTGTCTTACATTGACGATAACTCGGTGTCATGCAGACAACACGTGTAACAACCCGTAAATATAGTTGATTCAAAATCTTTTCATGGATAAAACATTATTTAGATGATTCTTCTGTTTAAAATGGGTGGAAATTAAATATTTTGATCAAAATACTTGGAGAAAAAGTAGGGACTAAGGTTAAATTTTTTTTTGAATTTATGGTGTTATAGTTTGAGATAATTAAATATTGGCACTGGCAAAAATTGCAATAAAATCCATGAAGACTCAGCATGATGCAATTTTTGAAAAGTTTTTGTTGGCTCCAAATTTTAGTTTCCAGACTTTAAATTCGAAATTTCCAGGTGTTACAATATATGTCAGCACTGATCCTAGTTTGAAATGGTATGGCTGATTCAGAATATTGTTGTTGTAAAAGCCTATGGTATCAATTGTTGAGCCAAGTATGGAAGTAGCAGTGCATGCTTTGTACCTACGGGAATGAGAATGCTCTACACCGATACAAGATTGGTGATTTCCCCATGATGACGTCTCCAAAGACTATGAAGTTTGCAATATTTTTTTTTTTTAGGAACCGACGACAGGAGTTTCTCCTGCCGGAATTTATAGAAGAAAAGAATTGGCCTAGTTAATAAGGGAAACCGGTCCCGAAAACCAAACAAGCACGGTTAATTAAACGGAAAACCAGCAAAAACCTATACAGAAAAGGAAAAGAAACAACTAAAGAGACCTCACAAAAGTCATCGTTTTGATTGTTCAGTATTATTAATTGCATGTCGTTACCTTTACCTTTAGCTATGTGGAATTTCACATTAAAGTACAATATCTCAGGTATGGTGCTTTTTGTCAAGCACAAGTCGGGCACACATACATCATACTCACGCCCAAAAGGGTAAAAACGGTCACGGAAATTCCCGATGGACCGGACGTCGTTTCCATTTAAGGGGTACCATTTCTGACCATACCCTTTTTGACTATTTTGAAATTTTGCTTTTTCTAATTTCTTTCTGCATCATATTAACGTCGATATTAAGTAGTTTAAATGATAAATATGGTCAATTCCAGCCGATCGAGCATCGTTTCCAAAGAGATATTGCCGATTCCGACCGTTTCCGATCGTTTTGGCCAATCATACCCACCTAAGCACTGAGTCGTCTAAATTTCTCAGGTATGAGCTGAGCTTCACACCTATACGTAAATATGTCAATAAGGAAAACTGTAAACATGAGATACGCTTGTGAAACGTATCTTTTGATACCATTTGAATTATTTCCGGACATGTTATCAGCAAATTATTCCCAATCATAAAACCAAACATCCTCAAACTGTCATAAAACCAAACATCCTCAAACTGAGGAAATAATTTGCTGATAACATGTCTGGAAATAATTCAAATGGTATCAAAAGGAAACGATAAAATTTTGAGCTTTCTCTAATATTTGATATAAATCAGGTGAAACTGATCTGCTCCACACCTTGGATTCGAATGCCACATAGATGCCCCAGGTGGCAAAGGAGCCATCGACACAGCTGAGATAACACTAAACGCAGTCAAATATGTTAGTATGGTGGTGTAATCATATATTACTAGCCCTAGTTCGAAAGCAAAAAACTTTTGCAAAATCATGTACAATCTACAAATTGAAATTTCCTGCTGCAAAATGGACTTCACTCAAAGAAGAGAGTCAATTTTTACTCCCGCTTCTTAAAAGATTTTTAATATATGACGTTGATTTTTTAAGATGCGATCATTCATCTTAAAAAAATATATGTAATTATCACTTATTGTTAAAACTTCTATAAGAATGACTTATACTTTTATATGTTTGCGCAAAATTTTTAAATAATACGATTGATTAAATATGTCTAAAAATCAAGGGCATTGCATATTAAAAAGTGCGTGATAGGCAGTAGTAATACTTAATGTGGCTCTTTACTAAAAAGATACTACCAAATAGACAGTACGAATAATTACGTGATGAAACACAACCCTCAAGCCCACTACCAGAGAAGAATCAACATAAACTTGCCCTGTCATCTGTAAACAGAGTAGCAACAAGCTGCTTCCGAAAGGCATATTAAAAAAAAAAAAACTCGAATATTAGGAAATAACCTAATATCAAATAATTAGAAGGGGTGAGGCTTTGAACCCAGGTCGTCTAGCCCACCACCTTGTGGAGATAGCAGGAAGACCCCTGAGCATTTCTCGAAAGGCATATACAATGCAGAATGACGAGTGGCCTCGTGTGCCACCACATAGGAGCCGAGACGCCACCTCAATTGAGAGCATACCCTCGTAAAGACACGGGAGCCTCGACTTGAAAACCTAGCACACAGCGCCAGCATACGGAGTCACCACCTGGGTAAACTTTTTCATGGTCATCAAAGCCACTATGCGTGGAGAATGGTATCTTCAGCAGTGGCTTTAGCCTGTCTGGCATATTTTCTCTCCTGATACCATTCCATGAGACTACTTTGCAATGTAAATGAACTGGTTCCTCGAGTAATTCTTCCTGGTTCCTCTTTTCGATAAGAATTCCGCAGGCGGATACTGATAGTGGAATTGCTCTCGATTTTATACATGTCAAGAGAAACCCCAGGAGGTAGAACATGACCTCTGTAACAGAGAAAGTATTTCTCAGCTTTAATCTGCGACCTTTTTTTAATTTTCTTCCAGATTTCTTCTGCAGTATCAAACATGCTAACCAACGTGGTCAATGTCCTCCCTTCCCATGATTTTATGAAGATCTGGACATTCGGATGCAACAACAGAACAGTATTATTCTTTACATTCTGCTCTTTGAGTGTTTCTGTGTCCATAAGCTCAATATCCACACTAGGATTGGTCCACATAAGTAGTTGTGTACATGCTGGAAAACCCAACAATGCTTCAATCATTACCTTGACATCGGCGACAGTATACCAGCTCTCGACATCAAGCCTTACAGTTCTTCTGTTGCTAATGTTGACAAAGATACGGAGCTTCTCAAACGGGCATATCAAAACATGAAGTATCTGATCATCTGATAGACCAAAATGACTTAAAATCTGGCGATCATCAAGCTGTCGACCTGCATACATCAGCATTTGGTTATCCTGAAGAATCCCTTCCTTCCGTTCAATCTCCACCTTGACATCAGCAACAGAGTTGGAGTTCTTCACAATGAGTTTAATGGTCTTTGCAATCGATGGGATCTTGACATATATACGCATCCCATCAATTACGTAGTCGTCACGGGAAGAGTTTTTCATGATACTTAAACCAGAAAGCTTATTGTCATGATGGCTATTGCCAATCCCCTCTGTGGTACCACATATAGGCTTGTTCTCATCAAGGGCTCCTGTTTTCCGGATGTTCACATAAATCTGGACATAAGCAGAAATAGGAAGTATTCACAAGCTGTTAGAAATATGGGAACGCATCTTATGTACACAAGCTTACTATATGTTCTCTTGTTAGAAACACATACAGTTTGCAACTAAAAGCATCAAGAAAACAACCAAAGTTGTGTATAGACAAGAGCGATATGATAAGCATCACATGCAAACTTCAGTTAAAACACTTCATGAGATATTATTTAAACATTTGAACTTATCATCATTGGTGATTTGGACATGTGATCAACGGTTTGTTTGATGTGTATCCTAATGAATAAATGGATTATAAACTGATCACAGCAGGCGTGGGAGTAAGCTAATGGGAAAATTGAAATCATGTCCATACACGAGAAAAGTAAGTATCAACTTCATGTCAAAAAATAGATTTTCCATGTGGGAGTGCCCCACTATCAGCATCATGCAAGGATAACTGAGGCTACCTGTCATTAGCATTGGACCAAGAGGGCCTGTCATGGCCATTGGCCCAAGAAGGCCAAACATATGAGCATTGGGCCAAGAGGTCGAAGCCCTAGCTAGGGAACAGTACCCTCATCTTACAGTCTTATGGTAGCTTGGTTGGTTCGTCTCTCAACCTAAGTCTCTCTCTCATCCCTAGCAGCCATCGCCGCGCAGCTATGTTTCCTGGTGGTGTTATCCCTATGAACCCTAGCTCCTAGCACCCACCATGGGTGTACCAACATTTTACTACGTACACCACATAAGACTGGCGCAAGGTTAACTTATTGTTTATGTACTATTTCCTATGAGCCATATCTCCTTACTAGAACTGTTGTTTGACTCAGCTTATTATACTAATGTAAAGGACAGAAATGTATGCTCGGTTCAGCAATCTAATAGAATTCTAGCCCAGTCAGACCATCTCCTGAGCTTACCTAACATCCCAATTTCTAGTGTTGGTTACATTGGCTAATTGAAAAACTTAGTCTGGATTCCAAGAACTTGTACATTTTTTATGGATTGTTTTTCATGTTCATTTTGATTTTTCAGGTTCTATTTCAATTTCTTTGCATGTATTCCCCTTAATACCTCATCAGCCCACCCAGCTGGCCCTTTTCACCCTGCCACACTGCTCAGCCCAGCTTGCCAGTCCGCACGTTGTCGCAGCTGCTGCGGACGGCCAGGGATCAAAATGACCGGCTATGTGACCAAAGTGGCAAAACTATTCAGGATATCCTTGTATCTTGTGTTTTGTTTTGCCAAGTTTGGATTATACTCCTCTCGAAGTTGGGGTTGGCTGGTGCTGTACCTTGACTTTCGGCAGCTCGATTTTCAGGATGGCAGTGCACAGTTATCAAGGGAATTCCAAAGGAGTTGTGCAAAGGACTGAACTCTTTGATTATCCTAGCAGCTTGGAAGATTTGGAAGCACTGCAATGATTATGTTTTCAATGGTGCTACTCCAAGTGTTTCAGTGGTTTCAAAGACAGTGCAAAGTGAGAAGTTTATGGTGCTAAACAGAGCTCGTGCCCAGCTTCATAGTAGGTCGCTTACCCAGGGTGGCTAGTCCTTCCTCTTTTTTTTTTTTTTTATGTTTGTTGCCGTGCATCACCTTCAGGTGATAAATATGTGGATGTGTTCTTAGGGGTGGATCAGTTTTGATCCCTCCTTATTGTCTTTGGTCTTTCTTTCTTCTTAATGAAATTAAGCACAGTCCTCCTGCGTTTTTGAGAAGAAAAAATAAGTTGTCTGTTGATCTCTCCTCCATTCCGTGCCCCTCATCACCCACATCAAACGGCATTTTTGGTCCCTGACATCAAAATAGCTCTGGTAGCTGATGCTCTCTTGCACACTCTCTGGGCCATCCCAAAAATAGATTTCATTACACCATGGGATCTAATACCTAGCTACTTTGCATGCCAACTGGTAAAAGAACACGCAGCTCACAGGCCACACATAGCATACTGATTTTTCAAGTCACTGGCCTCATGTGATGTGGCATAGAAAAATTCCACGACCCACTTAAGTTAGGTACATTTTGGCAAAACGGTAACCTATTTAACACATCTAATATCTAGACAAGTTTGGCCTCCTACAGTGCAATTTACTCTATTACATGGCATAAACATGAGGTCTTATTCTGTCATTCCTCATATATATGTCTCGGTACTCTGTTGAATCATGACAGACCATTTTAAACTTCAGGTTGGCAAAGTCATGTATAGTGTTCTTTTTAAAGACGATCCTATATTGGTACCAAACTGAATCCTTGACTGGCTAAGCAATGGCTTTGGAGAAGCGCAAGCATAGAATGGCACACCACAGGCATCATGCTAGTAGTATTGGAATTAACTCCTTACTTGCGATGATAGTTCACTATTCCATTTGATGTGCGTATATTTTATGTCAATCAATATGGGTATGCCCACCAATTCTGACTAAAGGAGTACTGGCCATCGAAACACAGAAGAATTCTGGACAATAATCGAGCTCCCAATATTGTTGCAGCTCTAAAATACAGGATATTTGAAATAGGAAGAGAACTATCATTGCTTACAGAGAGTACTTACCTTTGACATAATCTTATCAGGCCCTTTCAAGACTAGCTTCCCCTTTTGTTTGCAGGACAAGTCTTTAGCAATATCAATCAGATCATCGCTCACTACCACACTTTGAACAAGTATCCTGTCCATCAACTGCATGTTTGGTGATACCCCTTGTTGTGCTTGCATTCTTACACTAATATTGCACGTGAACTGTGGAGATATAAGACCACTGCATGGCTCAATGCGGTATATATTCAATTTTTGTGCGTTGATCTTATAAGCAACGTAGTGGTGTGTCTTGTTTTTTAGCAGCATTGAGCATGAAAACTCCTCTTGTGCCTTCATGGGGAACCAAAGCTCAAGGGGGTTGACACTCAGTATCTCCTTCATGTTGGAGTCAACCTGTGAGCAGATTAGGATTCTGGATTTTAGTCGAAAGCAGGATAGTAGGAGATATGTGTGCACATACAAAATTACTACAAAGAGTATAGCATATAACATTAATTACGAAACATTTACTACCACCATCCACAATTTGTGGATGCAGGTAGTAAAACTTAGTTATTACAACTAGAAAGAGGAAATTCTGTTGTACCTACAAAGCAGTGCTAATTTGAGGATTTGATTCAAAAGATTTCATGTCATGCAAGAAAATCGTTAAGAAAAAGAATAAATACAACTATTACTTAGGCTTGCATGGTTGATCAAAGAATCAGCAAATGCAACCTAACAAAAGAATCTAAAAATAAAAGAAGTGAGTACCCTGTTGTTTGCACAACTGTACCTGGTGCGCTGGTAATCCTATCACATTGCTTTCTTTATCAACCACTGAACTGGTAAAGCGACCATTTGAAACATTCGGAAGAAGCATGGATGCCATTGCTTCAGCCTTCTTACATTCCCATGGAAGCATATTGACAATTTTTCTTGCAGGAGGTCGTCTTTTAGGATCTATCTCCACACAATTCAGCCCAATTTTAAAACATGAATGAACTTGTTGGAGGCTATGTGTATCCAGCAATGGATACCTTGATGTTATTTTCGACATCCTTGACCATTTGTTACGTACCTATATGTGATCACAATTGTTCACAATTATTATGTATCAAAATAACCATACAGCACATAATTGTCTAAGTCTAAACAACCTAAAACTGTGTCAAAATTGTTAAGGAAAAAACACATACGCTATGAATAAACCGCTGACCAGAAAGATCGACACTGCTTTGGTGGTTTTTTTCTCCTGTCACAATTTCTAGGATTAGAATACCCAGACTATATATGTCTGACTTAGTTGAGATTTCTCCTTTATGACAATACTCTGGTGCCATATACCCTCTGCATGACAATAAGAATAGTTCACTTTTAAGCATTCCAAGAAAAGAGCAAGTTCTACTTAAATTATAAAAGGAAAGAAAAAGCAATAAGCATCTAAACACCGAAAAGGATATTCAATAGCTTACATTGATCCTGTAACCATTGTAGTGCATGTTCGTGTTTGTTCTTCACCAAAAAGCCTTGAGAGACCAAAATCAGCAATTTTCGGCAGCAAGTTATCATCCAGTAGTATATTGCTTGGCTTCAGATCCAAATGAATAATAGGCTTATTTTCCAATTCCTCATGTAAGTAACATAAACCCTGGCATATTCCTTTTATAATTGCATAACGGTCATGCCATTCAAGCACATGAGATTGATCTGCAGAGGAAAGGGAAGAAAGAGTGAAAGCTCCGATATTTTATGAACAGAGTGGTTAACAGAAACAAAGGCCAAACAATGTGACATTAGCAATACAAGAAAAGAAGGGGTGAATAGAGAAGGTGTACCATAAACTAACTTGTCAAGGCTTCCATTTGCCATATACTCGTAGCAGAGCAACCTTTCTTGCACTTCAGCACAAATATTTTTTTTCTGGTACTCATCATATATCACTTTCTCTTGTCTTTCATCACAGTAGCCAATTAATTGTACTATGTTCTGGTGCTTAAGTCCCATGAGATGATGAACCTCATTATTAAATTGTCTGTCCTGTATTCCTGGCATGACCTGAAGCCTCTTGACCGCTATGGGTTTCCCATTTGCAAGAATTCCCTGTTAAACTTCTTTTCTTAATGTAGATTTGGATTTTCAAATATCCAAATAAGAAAGATCTGACATTGACCTTTGACGTGTGCCATCAGTTCATACAGAATGTGGTGGTATTCATATATAGTTTTGCAGTATATATTTTTACCATAAGTTTTGTAGATAAACAACAGCTATATTCCAATTCGACTACAGCAACATATAGATTGGAGTTCGACAGTCGCAATGGTTATCTGACACGAACGAAAATAATCAAACAGAATTTTAGCGCTTTCTTTCATCTAATAGTTAAGTATTGGCTTCAAATAGTTAGGTTACTCTCTCAAATGGAAAAGTGCTAGACCATACCTTGTAGACCACTCCAAACCCACCTTTACCAAGTTCCCGCCCTGGAGAAAACTGGTCTGTGATGTCTTTGAGGTGTTGTAGTTTCATCCGCCAGGCCATTTTTCCTTTTGCATACAACAGGTAAACAATTCTCTTTACCCTACGAAGGAATTGATGACTTGATGTAAATATAAAAGTAAAAAGGTTGTTTAGAAAACGGAAAGGAACTGTAAACATAGGTAATCAGAGAAGATGCTGCATAGAAGAAATTGAGTATAAAAATGCACAATAATAGAGCCAATGAGAGAACCATGCAAAATATTAGATCTTGGTGTTCAAGGCTTTCCTAGGGAACAGCCTCATGTATATACCTCTGTAAATCCATCCCACCCCCCTCCCCCTCCCCTCTATCTCTGTCTTACTTCTCTCTTCCTTATGTCTCCTTATAACCTCTATTCTTGTAAAATCTATGTAAACTTCATTTCTATCAATGAAATAACTATAAGGTAGGGCATGCTCTACCTTCTTGCGTCAAAAGAAAATGCACAATAACTAGATCTGCTATGTTCATATGGAATTCATTTACAAAGCATGTGCTGAGGATTCGCAACAGTAACTATGCTAAGCAATCAGTATGACATAATTCTATATTCTATTCAAAACAAATTGATTTGGATGAAATTTTAGGATCTCTGAAAATACCTTTTCAACTTGCAAACAGTTTCCCCCTTTTTACTGTTCTTTTGTGTTGTACGCTCAGCTGTCAAAGCATCTTTAAGTTAGAACGTTTTCTGTTCCTAGATTTCTATATAACAAAAAAAAAGCATTTTCCAATTATAATAGGTGTTGGATGTATACCATAGCACAAATCACTATTTATTTAAGCGGGCCAGCTGCAAAGGACAATTACAACATAGAAATCTCATTCCAAAATTAATGTTCTTCCAAGAGCACTAGCACAATCACATTCCCGATGCAGACATGGCGTGCAGTGGAGATTTGTCGATAGTAGTGCAATCAATCCTGTTCATTCTTATTCCCAATTTTCATCAAGTCATCTGATGAAGGAGAGAAGCTACAAGGATGAAGTCTGGCCAAACTGGGTACAGACAGAAATCTTGTAGCTTTTGGCAGATTGGTATGTATGTCTATAACAATGAACTCAACTACTTAATTTGACATCTGGAGAAGGCTAATGGATGATCAAACAATCAAACAGTTGATAAATTTTACAACTATAGCTATAAAGGAATTAACTTCCCAGTGATGACAAAACACAAAAACAGATAGTGAGCCATATCTGTACCAACATTAAAATCGATATATTTAGTGCCCATATAGTACTCGGAATCTCACAAGCATTTCCCCAAACAGTTGGTGAGCACAGACAAATGAACTCATAATCTCACCAAACAATGATCAGGGATCTTAGCTGGCTTTCGGCGAGTGCGGCCGCATACCCCCGACAACCCCATGGCCTCATCTACCTGTGCCCCCATGAACGCGGTGTTGGCGGCGGGCTTGTGCCGTGTTAGGCTGCAGTGGGCGTCGATCTGGAGGTGAGATGGGAGAGAGAGGAAGAAGGAGCACGAATCACCGGCATAGCCACGTATGGCACCAAGTTGCTACTCAGGCAGTAGGGAATCAGGTACAAGCTAACAATGGAATCAGTAACTCGGGCAGCCGGGCAAGTCTCCGGCGACGATGGAGGGGATCAGGGCCAGAGCTCGCTGATGGCAAGGGGGAGAGATCGAGGCCCCATTTCGTCGGCGGCAAGAGAGGTGCGAAGGAAGCTCGACGCCGGTGGCGAGGACGAAGGGACGCCGGCGAGCTAGTTGAGATCAATGCGACTAATACGATATACGGAGTATAATCCAATTCTTACTAACCGTTTATATTATGAGGCAATAGTATTTTAGAATCGTTTTTAATTTTCGAACCAAAAATTGCCAAATTATTTCATTGGACTAATGGGCTTATTACAAAACATACACAAAAGCATTAAATTCGCGAATTGAGAAAACAAAAATAAGGACGATGGTGAACACAGGAGTGGAGAGAATCGAAAAATATGAACAACTTATCACTTGCCTGATGCACAAATGCTGCTCCTGAATCCCAAATGAGAGTAGGAGATGCTGATCCCAAATCGCAAATGATAGTAGGGTATGTCTTGGAAGCTACCAGCTACTAGGTGATCACTGATCAGAGTATTATCATTATACTCAATTCGAGCCAACTAACTGATCATTAATTTGTTATATTCTGGGTATTTTTCACATTCCTCGTGGTCAATAATATAGTGATAATCATTGCTATTGTTCGGCCCATCACATAGAAGTGTGACTCGTGCCTCTCTAGTGTATTGTATATAGCGGCTGAGACTGAAATTTCCATGTTCCCAGCACTTGTCCAGTTTTCACGTGATATGTTATCTTATCCCCACAAAATTATATTTGTTCTTCCAAATAGAATTATATATCAAGGCAGACTGACAGACCATACAGTTCGAACGGTTGACATTCTCCATCAAGAAAATCCGAGCTAAGAATTAGGAGAGATCACAGATCAGGACTGGTCCCAGCTGATCAATGAACGTTTTGTGAATGAATAGTTGCAACCCACTAGCAGCAATTATCTCCATATTTTGTCACGCCATAGGTATACTCTAGACAATGGATTAATTTTTAGTGCTAGATCTTCATATGTTTAACAGGCCAGCAGAATGGCAGATTTACCTCCGGGCATGAGTGGGTGACTGCCCGGGCTTTGTTCATGATCACTATGTTATAGTATAGTGATTTTTTACATATATATTCACTTTGTTTTATATTACAAGAGGCTTTAATTTTCTTCCTAATCAAACTCCTTTTTAACCTAGTTTATAGAAAAATTAGAACCATCTACAATACCAAATTACTTTCATTAAATCTAACATTGAATATATTTTGGTGTAGCATGTTTATTTTGTGTTACAAATGTTGTTATGTTCTTTTTATAAATTTAGTCAAAATTAAATAAGTTTAGTTAGAGAAAATTTAAAGCATCTTATAATATAAAATGGATATAATTCTAAAATTCCACATACGCCACTATAAACATTTATGGTGTTATTATGAGGGGGAGAGGAGGTGAGAGAGAGATGGACAAAGGATAAGGAGAGATATTTTGAAGTGTTGAGAGGGAAAAAAAGGACGTAAGTCAGACTTCTAAGCGGATCCTTAAGAGGCCTGTCTACAAAATATATTTTTCACGTGCGGCCCCTTAAGATGTCCACCTACGAAAATAGACTTATTTTTACATGCGGGTATATTGAGAGCTCCGCATGCGAAAATCGAATTTTGCATACTTAAGGAGCTGTATGTAAAAATGCATGTCATTTTTTGCAGATACGATCAGTTACGGTATGTCTGCAACATAAAGAGGGTTTTGTCCAGAAAAATTATTTTTTATAGTGAGCTTTTGCCATTTTCCAAGCAACTGAAGCAAGCAGTATACGTATCTTTAGTTTTCTTTTGCTCTCAAATTGACAATAGTCGGTTTCTTCTCTAAAATTGACAACACTCAGTGGAATATATGTTTAGCTTTCTTTTGCCATTTTGTAAGCAAACATCCTACGACAAAATCTATATAAACGTTCAGCCATCACATGTTCACTGAAAATTGACAGTGCAGCAAATTGCAGCACTCAGTTCTATGAAATCCCTTTCGCCATACTGAATTGACACAATTACAATCTTTGCATTCTCAAATTAACACTGTTGTCGAAACGACCGCATACGTCGAAAGACGTGGTTACTCAACAGTGGTTGGAAAGAAAATGAAGTATATTAGTTTTTTGGGATATTTCTTTCTTCGGTGCCCTATTACATGGTCCTAGGGGGCTATTTATAGCCCCATTACAGATTCTTACTACTAGGGTTTAGGTTATCCTGAGAAATTTACATGGTTGCCCTTATGAAAGGGACATTTACAGGGTTACATAGTGTCAAGGAGGCTTATGGGCCCATGATGGGCCGTCGGGCGATCGCCGGCCCTATAGCCCCTAAGCTTGATGGGCCGGAATGGCTTCTTCGGCCCTTGCGGGGGCGAACTAGACATGGCGAAGCCGTCCTTCTTCGAGCTGGATGCCAGGGCGAACTGGCCATGGCGAAGTCGTCCTTCTTCGGCAGGTACTCACGCGACCCTTCGCCTTGCATCATCCTTGGTTCATAGCCTTCGCCACGGGTTTCGGCAGATTTGGTCGAAGGGCCTCATGCCATCCGCCAACAAGCCCCTCAAAGGCAAGGGTGAGAGTGGAGCTTCGGCCGAGACCGTGCAAACCATGTGGTATGGTATGTGGCGCCCCCTTTCGACCGATGCTCCTGCCGAAACCTACACTGTTCCTGCAAATAAAATATTCTTACTTTTACCGGGCCAAAGGGAACAGTATTGGGCTTTCTTTTGATGGGCCTTTTACTGTGTTGCTCGGATGATGCGAATTTACCGTTTCGCCTACCCCTGCGCCACGTGGCGATTTATGGGTCTTTTACTGTGCTGTTCGGATGATGGGATTTTACCGTTACGCCTACCCTTGCGCCACGTGGCGCCTTATGAGTGGTGGGTAGGCGAAACGTCGGCTTGGTGGGCTATATATTCCCACCCCTTTCCTTTTCACCGCCACACTTGCCACTTTTACTGCGTGCTTTCTCATCTTCTGTCGCGACCGGGAAAATTGCCTTTTCCCGAACGCTAGTGTATTAATCCCCGTCCCAGAAAAAGCCGGGGTACACCACACAAACATGATATAAAAGACACATCTTTATTATATCGATAATATTTACATTATTACAAAGGCACTTAAGGCCTGACAATCAAAAATAAACAGCAGCGGACTAGCGGGCCTACGGCTCCATCTTCACAGGCGCTCAACTGGGGTATAAGCCAGGACTCCACCTAAGACATCTTCTCCAAAGCTTCTCTTACTGAAGAGGGGAAAGATTGAGCAAGAATGAGTACAACCACAGTACTCAGCAAGCCACACCGGAGATGCATAATTAATGCAAGGGAGTACAAGGGGATAATAATATAGGGGTTAAGTTTTGCAGTAAACAGCATTTAAAAGTCACTTAGTTGCCCAAAGCCATTTTATAAAGACGATCCTAGAGCTACACAGTATTATTAATCAAGGCCGTGAACCCACACGAACCTGCCTTAACCCAAGGCCTACGATGATTCAGACCGAACTGGCAACCCGACCCTGGGTCCCAGCTCGTCCCAAGCCAACCCAGGCCAACCATTCCACATTTTAGTAGTTAAGCAAATTTTAAGAATTAAAACACTAACTTGGGTACATTGCTCGGCTTGCCCATAACCGAGGGCGCGGCTATTCGAATAGATTATACTCTGATCAGAGGTGTACATCTTTACCCACAAGACACATGTCACACCCTGCAGTTCTCCTCCTAAGCCAAAAATTGAATTTATAAATGACCCTAAGAAAAATACCGGTGCAAAGCAAGAGTAAACCCTTGAAAATCAATGCAAATAATAATCGGATTTGGCATGTGGAATTTTTTTTGAGTTCTACATGTCGAAACTCACTAACAGGATTTTTAGTGGAATTTTCAGAGCCCTAGAAATAATTGTAACCAATTAAAAATCACCAAAGTGCAATTTTTTTAATTCCAGGAAAAGTTCCTTTTTCTTTTTCTTTTTCTTTTTCTCTCTTTCCTCCTTTCTTTCGGATGGGCCACCGGCCCATCTCCTCCTTTCCTCCCCCTCCCCTTACTGGGCCGGCCGCAGGCCGAGGCCCAGCCGGCCGCCCGCCTCCCTCCCTCCCGGGGTCGCCGACAGGTGGGACCCACCTGTCGGACCCGTCTCCCACCTCCCGCCTCTCCCGCTCGCGCCGCCGCGCCCGTAACGGCCGTCACGCCCACGCCTCCGCCTTCTCCGGGCCACGTCGGCCACGTCCGCGCGTGCGCCGCGCTCTCCGCGCCCATTCCCCTCTCTCTCCCGCTCGCGCCCGCGCCCGAGATGGCCGGGATTCGAATTTCGAATCCCGCCTCTCTCTCCCTCCCCACTCCCCACGTCGGCCGGCGATTCCCGCCTCTTCCGGCCACGTCCGGCCCTCTCTCCCCTTATTTAAGCTTCACCGCCGCTCCCTCTCACTTTTTCCCCATTGCGCCGACCTCTCCCGAGCTCCCCATCGCTCCCGCGCCGTGCAACCACCCGCCGCCGCCGTTTTTGCTACTTCGGCCGCCGCTAGCCGCCGCTAGGATCGCCGCCGCACCGCGCCGTCATCGCCGTCGGGTTCGCGGGGTCGAGATCTACCTCGGCCGCCCCTTCCCCGTCGAGGTTCGCCGCCGGAACACCCGTCTCCTCGCGCTCCGGTGGGTTTAACCCCTACCGCCGCTTTCGGCCTCGAATGCCGGTCGCCGGGGTCTATCTCCCTCTCTCTAATCCCTCTCTTCTCCTTCCTTAGGGCACGCCGAAGCTCGTCCGCCGGTCGCCGTCGCCTCCCGTGGCCTGCCGTCGCCGTTCGCCATCGTCTTCCTCCGCGCCGGCCACCCTCGGTGAGGCATCTCCTCTCCTCTCCTTCCCCGTTTCCCCGTGCGTCGCCGCCACCCGCGCTCGCCGTCGCTTTGGGTCGTTGCCGCCGTCCGCTGCCGCCGCTTTCGCGTCGCCTCCGCCGCCGGATGCCGTCGCCGGCGACGCGACGCGCACGCACCGCCGCCGCTAGCCCCGGGTCGGCCGATCGGCTTTGATGCCGATCCGAGCCCGGGGGCTGCCGCCGCCGCCGTCCGTCCGATCGGCCCGAGGGCGATCCGGGCCGTCGGTCCCGTGGATCGGCGGTGGATCACCCGCGTGGTCCCGGTCCACGGTAGACCGTCCTCCCCGTGCCGCTGACCGGTGGGCCCCGCATGTCGGCGCCGCGCCACCTGTGCTGACGTCAGCCCTGGAATTTATTGCGCAATAAAGTATTTAAGGATTTTGGTTATAGTAATAAACAGAGTGAATCTTCTAAAATTCA